TTAAATCCATTTCACCCATTTATACTGCACATTTATACTTTTTATGACCCTAAATGTCTAAAGACAGGCATTTCGACCTCGACTTCAAAATCAAATCATTTGTTTTTCATTGCAGACGTTCAAATCCGTGCATAATTCACAATACGTGAGATCTCGCAATGAATGGAAATTTCCTTTGGTCTTGGTACAGTACCCATTATATTTCTTTTACAATTCCCAAAAATCGAAAAGTTAACAAAAAAACATTGTGTAGTCCAATCATAGTATTATGGTTGGGTATTATTTACTTATTATTAGTAGTGAATGCGCTAATGTTAATTACGAGGTATTTAAATGAGCAAAATTTGTATTATTTTAAAATTCAGTATATATCAAACATGATTTTTGATGTATTTGTGGTTCTATTGGAGATGTGTTTCTAGTGGAGCAAATAAGGTACATACAAAATTGCAAAAACACTAACAATTTAATGACTTGACAGTACTAGTATACAAACCTCATGCTGTGTGAGCTGTTTTTCTGCCTTTCTTTTGGAATCAAATCTACCATATATTGCTGAGTATTTTCTTATTTCTTTCAATCGTTCAGGATCAGTGAGTTGCATTTCAAAGATATGTTGTAGTTCTTTCATTGTTCTCTTATTAAACTGTTGTGGAGATTGAGGTCCTAAATTTTTGAACACATTACAAGCTGCTTCTCTGATATTATCAATGGACTCAGCATCTAAAACGTATCCACCAACAACAGCTTCTCCTGTTCCTTTTTTTGCACTCGATGGTGACTCAGACACAGAACCGACTCCAATTGGAGAAAAACTATGAAATGGAGATGCCTGCCAACTAGGTGTATTACTAGTCACAATCAACCGAGGTGGCGGTGTTACTGTTTTGGTTGATGTGGCCACAGGTTGCTGGAATGCCGAGGGATTGGAAACCCAATCTTGGAGAGCTTTTTGCAAACGTCTAACATGCAATGGTTTCGTTGCCATGCCAACTAGTGCCATGATTTCAAGAAACTCATCTTCTCCAGCTTCACATAGCTGCTGGACATCGTCCCCTCCTTGCTGTATGAAATTATCATAGTATCCCAACAGATTGGCTCTTTCTAAAACTCTATACAGCTGTAGCTCACTGGAATTTGTAGGTTGATGCTGGGGTGCTCCCGATGCCATCGTGTTTAATGAAAAGTAAAACCTGAAAGAGAAGAGTAATTTCAAAAAAACATTTGACATACACAGGGTTCTCCACAGGTGCCGCACAATGTTATCTGAAATTGGCGCCCTGTTTAAATTGTCAGCGCCCTGTTATATTTCCTGTGCGCCCTGGTCCCAGACAAAGAATTGTTTACAAAACTGGTAACTGGTTCATTGTTTCAAGGTGCAAGTGTGAAAATTCTGGCTTGTTATTGTAGTAGGTCACCATGAGGTGATAATACCACTGAAGACAAAGATGCAAGTTTTTTCAACATGATTAAAAATGAACATGTGGCCTAGAAAAGTGTATTACCGTGCCCATATTTTTACTGCCAGGGTGACGTCAAATATATATAATCGTTATCAGTAAAACCATTTGTTAAAACATAAGGTCTATGGTTAAAACCAAGTTCACACCGTGACTTGTAGCGGCAACATCATCACTATTTACTATTTAAAAACCCTGGTAAAACTGCCATGCTTTCAACACGCATCATAAGTGGAGGAAATAAATTTACTTGTGTTCTTCTTGGAACAAATATTCTGATTGGTTGTTTTTCGCGCCAATTTGTGGCTTTGGCCAATCAAAAGCATCGTTACATAGTATCAGGGTGCACACAGTAAAATGAACTGTTTCCGGGTCACTGCCGTTTTCAACGAAGCAGACATCAACAAACTTTCGATTCAAATGAAAATTATTCTTTTAAGTATGTATTTTGTTTTGTTTTTATACATAATTCTATTATTTTTGATAGTACATGTTAACTGCAGATCGAAAATCTTCTATTGTGAAGATTTTATTTTGTTTCATCATCTTGCTTTGTGGTGCTGATGACGCACATTCATGCAAGTTTTTCAATGAACATTTGTGCGACAACATAAATTTTATTTTACTTCGTCCAAATAAATATAAATCACAATTTTTGTTAAAAATTAAATAAAGCATATATGTATCTATTTGGTAAAATAAATTAAGAAACTTGTTACGTCTTTTTCTGGACGTAATCATTACTGGTAAACAACTGATGTCGCCACATGATGAATCGTGGAGCTAAAATGAGCTGATTGTACGTGCTGACGCTTACTTAATACTCTTCAAAGTTCTCATTCTTTTTGCAATAATAAATATACATATATTATGCATATGTAATAATATGTAGATTAATAGATTTTTTGGTTTCCATTTTTTCAACATCCATGCCAATGATGTGTTACAAATGTGCCACGCCCACTTTACATTGGCACGCCCTGTTTAATTTTCAAACCGTGGAGAACCCTGATACATGTATTTGCAAATGTATCTTAAATGATACAGAACATACTGTATTTGCTTTAAAATTGTGTCAATAGAGATAATTTGTCAAATTTTCATAATCAAATTTTTATAACAAATAATAAATGCCATTTATTTTGTCTATGTACATTTCCATTAGAGATGCACTTTCAATAAAACAAATACAGTTAATGAGATGCTAAATTGTGAAGAGTTGCAGACAAAAATGACCTTGCCCATAGTTTGGAAACCATTCCACTTTTGCAAAACAGCACCCAAATTATAACTTAATGTTTAATCATCACCAAACTTTGAGGTACAGGTAACATAAATTGTTTTTTGTTTAACACACACATTTAGTAACTCTGACTTTAACTGTTAACCAAACTTTTACAGGCAACGTAATTTTTTTTGTTTAGTTAAAGTTGAATGTTGCCCCGTAGCTCAAAGTTCAATTAACTGTTAATTAACAATTTTTGAAATGTTTTTCAGAAAAAGGTGCAGACATTGGTGGTTGGTGATCTTAAAATATCAGTGTTCATAGTTGAATCTATTTAAGACCTGAATAAATAGGTTATATCAGAGGGTCTATGGTTATATTGTTTACCGTGCTATTTACAAGTCTTGTGGACAAGTTGAAATATTTTTATTTCGAACATTGCAGTCAAATGATTATATCACTTGGATTAGAGGAGGGGGGGGGTATAACCCTCACTTAGAAGTTTAAAATGTGTTCACAACAGATGGAAACAAGGGAAGTCTTTGTCTTATTTTTTTGCAATAATTGAGAGAAACAAATAAGCAGATGTGAAAAAAGTCAATTAATTATTACTATTATAAAATTAGGGGACTGAGAAATAATTGTAAACTTGTGGTAGTTGCTGACTTAGAAAGTAAAACGAGCAAACAACACTAAATAAACGACAAGATTAATACTACATCAATCAAAGAAAGTAAACACATACTGCATGCATGACTCTAACCGGTGGATGGAAAAGGATGCTTAATCAAGCAGAGAGCATGAAACCAGTTCTCACGAGTCACCAATCCACGCCACACAGCCTAGCTAGACATTGCGGCAAAGGCCTTCAGATGAGGCTGTACTAGGATGGTGATTCTCTAAGCCAAGCCTACGTCACAAACTGGTCAAAATCTCCCAAACATTGCCAGCAACCAATCACAGACTAGCTTAAACAATAAGCTTTCCCTGACGATAATACTGTAAAATGACTAATTTTCACTGGGTTTAAATTTCACTGATTTACCATTTCAGGCATATTCAGTGGGTTTTAAATTCACGGTTTCGTCATTTAGATAATGTGTCCTATGCTAAATTTTACATATTCACTGTGTTTTAATTTAGCGCATTTTTCCAGTCAGCGAAATAAGCTAAATTAAAACCCAGTGAATAATTACCCCCTTTACAGTACTTAGCAACGTTATTTCCCCACACTAACTTGAAAAATCTTTTGTTTTTGACTCGTTTCCGTTTCCGATCAGTCTTAGAGAATTGAAAACCGTAAGTAATGGTACAGCATTATAACAGTGAATAAGTATTGAGAAATAATTGTAAACTCATAGCAGCTGTCGACATAGAAAGTAAAGTAAGCAAATAAACACCAAATAAATGGCAAATGCGACTTTGACTGTTGCGCAGACCAACGAGAACAAACTGAGACGTTATAAGCTTTAATTAAGTAATCTTTGGTGATTGAAAGGTAATTAGTGTACGTCACGCTCTGGTCAAAACTGGTACACGTGATTTCCATTAAAAAGCGCACTGGATTGTGGGAAATTATTTTTTTATCAACACAAATGTAGCATCTGCACGACGACCACTGCCCTTTAAATTAATAGATAACTGTGAAAAAAAATCAAATGGCCAATGTTCGACTTCCTTTATTTTAAGTTGAGAAGCGGATCCGCAATACACATCCGCCTCTTTCAAGGACGCATATTTCGCGTTAATTACACAAGAAATTGTAGTCAAGACAACCAATTGGAAATCTGAATTTGCAGTGAATACACTATGAAAAACATTATAAACAGATATATAACCCACCCATATCGTGTCGATTAAACCATTGCCACGACCTATAAAACTTTGACCCTAAAATTGAATTAATTATGCAAATGTTCCTCTCTCCTCATGGCCGCCACTTCCACTTTAAGCGAGTCGCTGTATTTCTATTGCCGACCGTTCACAGCCGAATTCGCTCAAAAATGCTATAAATTATGCACCATATTTGTTCGAGGTTGTCATTAATATCGACAAATACAATATTATAACATAATTATTGAAAATAGTGTTTAAAAGTGCTTACCAGAGTCGATTCGTGCCACCCCCTTGGGTGCTCGGCTAACACGGCGAACGTCGATTCTCAGGCTGGGAATTTTCGTATATATACTTGCTCAAAAATACCGGAATACCGTACAAAACGGTAACCCCACCAGCCGTGAATGAGAAGTTGCACAGTACACAATCTCAAATTGTAAACTCTGGGGAAATTTGAGTATTTTACCGAAAAATTTGGGACATACCTTTTGTTTTCCCGACCCTGGAACGTCGACAAAGATTGGGTGGGGGCCTAATTTACTCAGTGTGACGTACTGTATAAAGTGCGTGGGGTCAGTAGTCTCCCCCCATGATTGGTTGAAACAACCCCACGTGAACATTATTTGTCGTGGGTAGCGCCGGATTATGACGTACGTCAGTCCCCTTAGGGGGTGTGGGTATTTGTGCATGTCCATATATGGTGGCGGCACTGCGAATATCAAAATAGTTAGACAAAGACAGATGGTGCCAGGGATCTTTGCTCAGGGGACGGGGCTCTTTTGAGGGGTCAGAAGAAATTCTCGGGCAATAACATTAGTTCGGATATTGGAAGTGGTCTTTGAGAATATCTCCGGGATAAAGTAGGATATTTTCGAGTCTTGAGATGTATTTAATAGCGAATTCCCATAGTAGCAGATCACACTACCCATCAACTCGTCAGCGACGCTGGGAGACCGACACACTACGATCCCCGGCCAAACATGGTAGCACCCATTTGCCTCAGCCAATAGAGTGGGGTATGTCGATACTTAGTACCAGACCACACGTCGACTTCGTTCTCTCTCTCACACACGCACAACTATACATATGCTAAGTGTGACATGGTGAACATGTGGTACACGTGACAAGGGCAGGATTTCTCGGCTCAAGCAACGCAGCTCCACACTTATAAAATAAAACGTTGTATTGTACTGTAGCACACACCTTATAGCAAGGAGCCAATTTAATTGCTAACTCTACCATATATTTTGTTAGCCCGATTTATTTTACACTGGTATTTCAGCGAACATTATTCGGGGAGGGTGATAACAATTGCGTCTCATATATTGGTGCGCAGTAAATACTAGTACATGTTTAAGTATACACGTATACTTAATCGCAATTTTTGTTATTATCACATACTTTCTTGTATAACGAATTACAACATCCCAAATGAGCAATACATATTAATCGCGGTTCTAAAAACGAGAAACCCTGATTTAATTCTCATTTGCTTCCTTTTAATAATTTCCATCTTTCCGTTTTGCAGTATATGTGATATGAGGTTATCGGTAGTAAGTGTTGTTCAACCTCTATAGTATGGTGCCTACGGGGTTGATGTTCAAATCGATAACTCAACTGTAATAGAGGGTACTCCCATAGTTAAGGTTCTGAACCCAATATTCAAAATCGATACTATTTTTTCGACCCCAAATATTAAGATTTTCTGTCATTTTTTTTAACTACAATATTGACTACAATTCTAATTTTCAACTAAGTTAGAGCAGTTCGGAAATTATTATATTACGAGGTGTTTTAAATGTACTTGTTTAGGTACGTTTTAATTTACATTTGAACACATTCCGTGACGATGAGACTGTGATTTGAATAAGCTGCCACTGTTGTTATTTGGACGTGGCTTGAAACATTTAGTCATAGCTCAGACTAGTAATACTAGTATTACTAGTCTGAGGTCATAGCGCACACCATACATATTTACTACCACACGAACAAACAGCTTTGAATGAATGTAAACATCTTTTAAACGCCAGTCAGACGACAACTTAGCCGGGGTGACGAGGCTGCCCCAGTCATGTCAATTTTATTATTTTATATGAAAATTCTTTCAGAACGAGTTTGTAGAATCTTAGTAGTAATTTAACGTCGGACCACGATTTAAGAAAAAAATATATAAAAATACTAAGTAGTACTCGCGTATTTAAAGTTCACCCGTGGACTTTGGTTCATTCACTCCATGTATTTGAGGCTTTTTATTACACTCCAAGGATTGCAAGCACAATCAAATGCACTGTTTTGTGTTTTGCTGTGGACATGTTATCATTGAGGATCATACCTTTTATTGGCTCTGGTGGATCCAGAAATGCGGTAGGGAGGGGCGCGCTTCTATTGACGTGGACTCATTTTTTTGCGCTCGTGATTGGGTAGAGTTCTCAATGACTTGTAAGTAAGGCGTTTGTTAAAAATGGCATATCGTGGGGAATGGGGGTGCTCACGTATATATGTCGAAGTATATGGGTATGGGCCGCTGTTTGGTCCCTATTTTCACCCAAATGCCGTCAATTTGTTCGAACCAAAAGGCGCCCTCAACGTCGATCTTTTTGGGTCTTGTTTTTTTTTTTCAACAAGCTGCGGGCGACACTCCCACCCAATCCAGGTTGCTTCCAGTGTATAAGAAATGATACAGGGGCCTCATGTTTGATGAAAGTCGTATTCATCTTTATTACAAGCTACTGTTGATCAATCAACTAATTTCTTTAATTTTTACATAGAGGGACTGTGATTTTTGCAAAAACTGACTGACGATACAAAAAAAATTTATATTTGTCAAATACATTTAAGAAAAAGGATTAACCTATTTACCATTCAATGATTCAATAGTGTAGTGATTGCATTTTGACAACATTATGATGGCTTCTTCTCTTTATTATGCATTGTGTTCCGAGATAGAACATGGCAGTAGAGGGCGCTGTTGCAACTAACCGAGGGAGTGAAATTGTTTTTAATATTTAGATAAAACACAAGAATTTTTTTAAAGTTGCATTCCCACTTAGCAAATTTGCGAGGTACTATTTCAAATATAGAAACTGTTGATTAGCAATTTAAAATTAAGTACAGAATATAATCTTCTAAAATAAGCTACATTATACAATTTCCTTTTTTTTTTTTGCTACTAATATTTGCTTGTCAGTCTTTATTTTCCTGTGTGTATTTTTATTCTCACTTTGTCTTTAATCACATCTGTATTGCATTTTAGTCAAAATCCTAATAGGGATACAAACGAAATAAAGATAATTATTATTCACATAAAGCAGACTGTTTTCGAAAGGTCAGTTTCATTTCAGATGTTTGTCAGAAATAAGACTTTCCAGTACTTTCTAAATAAAACGACCAGGAAAGTAAGGGCAGGATACTTACTTTTAATATTAGATTTTGGTGGGGTTGAGACAGCATGATTTGAACATATTTTCTGTTTTTTGTATGTTCTCGTTACTTGGAAGGAGAAAGCAATTTTATCTCACAGCATTTCATTTGTAACAAGCTGTTTTCACATAAGATTGGTTGATTACTTTTACCACATTAACACCTCCATTTTGCGAAATTTTTATTTAATTTAAACTATAAAAAGAAAAAAATCGCCCAGACTGTGCCAGTCTATGCAGATACATGAACATCCATTTTTTTCATATATAGAATACGAGGACAAGTAAACGGCAACAATTTTTCTTCAAGACTGATTAGTCTTAGTACTTTTTGAAAATGCATATACTACATAAAAAATGCAAAAATTTCTTGCAATGCAGCTGTACTGCAGGCCAATTAGCTGACTTGCATTGCTGGTTACCTGTGTGAAACAAATTCATGGCCACTTAACAGGCATTTCTCAACTACCATATTTTCTCCATTAGTAGTTATGTTTATGGTCAAACTAATTTTAATGATCCAGTACACAATCCATGCAACTATTGTTTGCTGGTGAGAGCAAACTAGATATATAAATTGTTGTGCACTCTGCTGTACATTTAATGTGCAGTACTAAGTGCGCAGGCTCTGTACAAAGCAAACAAAAAAAGATTCTGGTCAATTCGTTTTTTAAAATTATAAAGCATTTTATAATAACGTAGCTAATGCGACTACCTCTACCGGTATATTAAATGGAAACAAGTCGCAAGTTTGATATGGGACCCATACAACAGCATAGCATACATCTATGCAGGTCAAATTATTGTGTTCTATATTGGTTCCTTACTTCACATAGCAGTATAGCACCTATACAAGTGTGGTTATGGTCCCATATGTATAGAAACATGCACACACATTTTTTTTTTATTTACACACCACTTTTTAATATGAAAACTACCATTTTTTGTATTTTTTTTCCCATGTATTATAGGCTCTTAAAGGGTATCTAGTTAATGAATAACATATTTCAGACAATGTAAATTTTACAGCGAAGCAGAGATTCATTGGGGCACCAAGTTAGCATTGCAGCTTACAATAGCCGCTTCAGAGAAATCTCTTCAGCACAGCTTAGTTGGTGGACATTATGCCTAGAATTATTAAATTTGTACACGTTGAATCTAGTATACTACTAAGGCCAAAAATAGGTTTTTATTCTTGTCACTGTGCATGTTTGAAATCGGCACCTATTTTTTGCAAATTTACCTACTGGTAACTTGTACAATGTTGTAGAGTGTTTTGTTTTTTGTTCCAGAAAATGTTCTGATGCTTTCAATAACCTTTAATGCTTGTAATCAAAAGTGTTATTTAATGAATGTTAAACAATGACTTTGTATTGTGGTATTAAATAATCTTAATACAAAAACAAAAGTAATAAAACCTTGTCACGGCATCATGTTTTAATTTTCCCTTGGAAGAGAAGCCAAAACACACCACTTGTTTTGAATGACATGTAAATAATATACGAACATATGAAGTGAACTTGTATACAGAAGAATTGTACAGTCATAAAAGTGAGGTGTATAATCTTATAATTGATTACTTTGTGTAACCTTACCGGTAAGTTTATGCCAACGTGCCCCATTGCATCACAGACTCGCTGTAACAGTTTAGACCATAACAACATTATATGCAAACCGCATATGAATTTAAATGTTATTAGTCAAGGTACAGAGAATACACACCAAATGAGTAAACAGTAATTGATTACATGTACATTTTAATAGACATGAAGTACAGGTTGGAAATTCTATATAAGCCCAAATAACTGGACTTCAAACATTTGACTGTAGAGAAAAACAACCCTACAAACTAGTTTTTACAAAATCATTCAAAATTCGGCATTACAATTTTCATTTGTTAACATTAGACTATAGATTTTCAAAACTTTTCTTTTTAGTTATTTTTCAAAAATTAAAAGTGATATACAAAATAATAAATTCTCTGCACTCATTTGCGCAACCACTAAATTCAAAGGTGTAGTGAATATGAATACCAATACTGAAATAAAACAAACTAAATCTTATTTTACCCTCAGGAATTGATGAGGATGAATAGCCCATAATAATATTACAAACCCAGGTTAGGTTTAATAGAGTTGTCTTATTGTGGGAAAACATATGGTGAGATCGGTGAAAGAGAGTGAAGAGCATCAGCCATTTTTGTAGCACGAATCTAATGCATGGTGTAATTGGAACATGTAGCTAATTAGTACTTTTCCATAGGATGAACTTGTACAGACAAATGCCATTTGTAGAAGTTGTTGCTATGTCACAAACACTTTTTTTCAAGATGACAGCAATCATTCAATTTCGGTTGGACTTTGTTAGCCTGTGATGTATGTGACAAAGTTTCAGAAATTAATTTAAATAGAAATATCACAGCCCAAAAATGACATAAATGGGCTGTAATATTTTTATATTTCTACACAAGAACATTTTCCTCTCATAACATGGGTAATCAATCAGTATGTCAGCTGTATAAATTAAGATATCTGATCGCATGGCTGGCTAAGTCCACCAGTGATTTTACGTCTACCCTTGACCAAATATGGCAACCATTAAAATAAAGTATGCCCACACACATGAATACTATATATTGTGTATGAAAGAGTAAAATATAAACAAACAAAGCAACATACATTGCTCTTCTCATTTTTTACACTAGAAAGAGAAAACCTATTCTTGCCCAGCATATTTACAGATACTGTGTTTTTCCAAACTTAACACCAGAAGCAATGTTTTACAAATCAAAATTAGGTGTTGTGTACAAGAGAGGTGTAGAGCGATGGTTGCAACTAAAGCAGTCTTTATGACATACATGTGAAATACTTGTCTGTCATCATCATTGTCCCGTATGTGAGAAACTGGAGGGTGGGTGGATGAGGATGAGGCGGTAGATAGGTGAGGGGTGGATTTCAGTGCATACTTTGCAAACAATTAGGGGCAATCTTTGGCACCGATATATTTTCTTGAAACTGTATTGATTTTCTTCCTTAGGGATAGGTTACCAAAAAACCATGGATTGCCAAGGGAAGCTAGGTGGCTGGGTTGAATCACAAGATACAACATTGCTATACAGAAATTCAAGGAAATTCATCGTCATCTTCTGCCATCTCTTTTGCTAATTCTAGATCCTGTTGTTCTCTTTCTCGTCGCTCCTGAAACAAACGTATAAATACCTAATAATTGGAAAATTATATGAATCTATACGACAAGACATGCACAAAGGCCAATATACAAGTCTTTGTTTATGGTCTACGTCTGGACAGGTACTAACAAAAGATACAACTTGAAGAGTAACTCACCTCAGCAGATTCTAAATCTTTGCTATACGACTTGGGAGGAAATCTCATTGCCTAAGATAAATAGAATAAATAACTCAGTTCAAAGCACATAAAATGTTGGAGTAGCAGTACTTTCTGGTCATTTAGTGCTAGTAATTAACAGTAGATGATACTACATAGTTTTTTTTAAAGCCAAATATAAACTCTGACAAAACAAGATTAAAATTGTGAGGTTCACAACATTTTTCAAATCCACCAAGCAAAATGAAATATGCTACTGTTACATACACTTATTTTTTCATGATTAGCATATTGGTAGAGAAAGTGATAATTTTTTTATCTCTATACCAACCTATACATCATCTGATAGCCTTTTGAAACATCAACACTTTTAGTAACATGAATGAATAGGACATTGGCAATGGTGCACGTCAAACGAGCAGGCCAGGTTTTTTATAATTTTCTTTCGTCAAAGCAACCAAATAACTACAGACATGTTACTGGCAACGAATTACAAGCGTTTATGCTAGTGCATGCATTTCTAATGCTGTTTATACATGTTTTACCATTTGATTCGCATTTCTGAGGTCTCAGTCAGTCTTCCAAACATGATGTGTGGGGTTGAAGCTGTGACAGAGATTCAACCTTGATTTCTTCTCATTGATTCAGCTACACGCAAAGATAGAATGTGCCACAATTATATCTCAAAGGTTGGATTAATACAATAGCCTTTACAAAACATAACTCTCACCTTAATTGAATTATTGTGTATATCCAAACAGAAAGTTATCCTTTGATGAAAGGCACCCATAGGTTCACGTGTTGAATAGATATCAATATTTTCTTTAGACTGTACATAACCTTTTTCATGGTCTATTATTGCTTCTATGACACCATCACGAATTGCCTGCAAACCAACCAAAGTATTGTTGGAGTTATAACTAATATATTCAGAAACATTATATCATCATCTTATAGTTAGGAAGATCACCTCTGTCTTACCTTAGCCACAATAAATTCTGCATCTTCAGGGCTGTCTAACTGTAATTTCTGTGCAATGTCAGCTAATGATATTCTAGAGTAAGATAAATTAATCATCCTAACACCAGTCTTGATTACGTTATGTCGTAGACGGATAATCAGTGTGTAGGTATCCTCAGCTTGGAACTTGGGTCCAAAATTCTCAAGTACTTCATTGAATCGAGCTAAATTACCAGTTCTAACAGCTGTGAAAATATAAGTTAGTTGTTATTTGAAATGAGCAACTAAGGTATCACCAACTGTTGACATAGCTATGTATAGGAACTAAGGTACAATGTACTACTGACAGTACATGTTTTTGGCCAAAGGGCTTGAACTAACTCACTTTGAAAATTGCCATGGCACAAAGGAATAATTACAGGGAATATCTATTTCAAGTGCACTATAAAAACCCACTGCCTTGATGTCCGTGAAGTTCAAGGCATGTCACAATAATTCTAAGAATTCAGTGAAGAATAGTTATCACATATATTCTCTTTGAATTTATTTTCACAATATTAAGTTTCCAATATTGATACAAAAGTATATGCAATAATGATATTTACAGGAGTTTGAAGAACCAATATGATAAGAGGGGGTTCACAATGTCAATGTCATGACTGCAATGACAGAATTCTATTTTTGGCAATCCACTTTGCTAGGATTTGGTGATCCGCTCTGCTAAGATTGCACTCACAAATTTGTGTGTGTGTGTCATCTTTACTAAACTCTTCTGTGATATTTTTTAGCTTGACCGATTTTATTAAAACCTGGCAGGCAGGTAATACCTTCACTCTACTTAGATGATAAAATTATGCACATGCATCCACCATTTTCAGCCCAGCCATTGCAAAGTCTACTAAACACCATTCAATCTGATGACATTATAATGAATGATATGAATATCAAACTATGCAAACCAAAGTAGATCAAACTGTCAATGATTAGTAAATATCTGCGAATATCACAACTTCATCGTCTCAGATCATGGGCCAACACATGCACAAAATTTACCTGAGCATGTATCATTACGAGCGCTGCACATAAACCAATCATCAAATCCAACCTTTCACAAATTTCTATTCGGATCATACAACCATCTGTGTTACTTTACTACTTGGCCTCTGATGCCATGCCCCATGCAATCTCATGCATAGTGATCAAATCATTCGTTGAGTTTTAATCATGTAACCATGTATGTAAAGTACACGCGACCTCTTGGGGATATGATCATTGCAACAAATGACAAAATATTTCAAAATTCAGTTCAGCAAGCATTTCAAAGTCTATTAAAGCTAGGCTTTCTTAGGGCCAAAATTACTATCAGACAGGTCACAGTAAGTTGAAGACAACATGTGATCTCTGGTCAATCAGAATTTTATGGTTGCCAGAGAATCTGCTCCCCAGGGTGAGGGGGCACATGGCCATGGCATGAAGGTGCTGCGCCCCTGTTCCCTTGTTTAAAAAAATATCTGCTAATATTCAAATTACTTACCTTGTGTCAATTGAAAGTATGGAACCAGTGTTTTCCTCATGGTAGGTTGTCTAAATAATGACCTATCTGGTATGTCACCTAACAATAACTCTACTGTAATTGCCAATTTGTTGACCTGTAAATAAACAAGTACACATGAGGAAAGCACAGTGGTCAACATTAAGGCATGTCCACCTTCCTGGAACTGGAAATCCAATGTTATTTCACATTTATATCTATTTTATGTTTTTTACTGCAAATACACATAAAAACTAGTTCGTATTTTATTCAAGGTACCGGTAAGTGGTTATTTAGACCAGTTAAATACTTATTTTTATCAGAATACTTTGAGACTGGTATAAAAGATAAATATGTTAAACTCACTGTTTGCTTGAATCCTACTGCTGTGTGTTGAGGTGCTTTACGAAGTGCTTGTAAAAGATGTTTATGGGCTTCTGAGTATTCTAACTGTATGGCTTTAATACGACCTAGAATACACAAACACATTAATAAAGAATAACATCAACACATTACACAATTTGATCAGAGTTTTTGTAACTCTTTGAACAGAGCTGATTTCAATCAACAAGTACATGCACTATGAGAATAAAGCTTGGATAAGCAAATTTAAAAATGGTGACTTTTTGGGAAACATTTTCTAGTAAATTGCTAGCATGAAGCGACAGTTGACGGTTTTGAGAGCCTGGTAATTTCAAATATCAGTGAATAATTTATAAGAATAGTTTATTTCCTTTGTAAGTCAGACATGTTGTCAGAGACATTTTTGAAATCAACCATTACTAATTAGATTTTGTGGTAGAGTCCAGAGATGAGCACCCAAAAAGTGATAAAGCTTCTTGCCTTGTGAAATCTGTATTAGAAGCTATAATGCAACAGAGGGGAATGAGCATCTACACATGTGGTGATTTTTTTGATTCTCAATTATTCAAAAGGAATGAATCAAATATTGATTTTACAGTAGTGAGAAAGGTTTAACATCCAAGGAATAAACAAATAGAATTTGCTAAATAGTTTAGGCCTTGAAGTTTGATATCTTCAGAATATGTTGAAGTGTAGCAACTTGTATTGTACAAGACAACCGAAGATACAATTGAGCACACTCAACAAGAGAATGCACTTGTTGATGTTCTTCACATGCGTGTGTGTAGAGTGACTGACACTAAATAATAATAATAATAAATAATAATAATTTATTCCTTTGCTTCCTCCGATAGAGGTATGAGAGAACTAAATAATATACATTACATACTGGTAATACAAACGAAAAAAGCATGTACATGGAAGAGTCACACGAAATAAATTAGAAGACAAAATTAGAGCACACTCAACAGGAGAATGCACTTGTTGATGTTTTTCACATGCGTGTGTAAAAACTAGAGGACAAAATAATAGTGCTGGGAGCTGCTTCTGTTATTAAACAACTCTGGCAGTGTCGCAGTAAGATAGTGTTGATCAGTGAGCAGCATTTTTAACTAACATTTGCATTGTGGTTGGCAAAAAAGTAAGGAAATGACCAGAGCTAGGGTATAGCAAATTAACTTAGCCTATTGATTGTACACCTACCCATGTAGTAGAGAAATCTAGCCCATTCATTGTTGGATGCAGACTCTGGATATGTAGATTTCGCAACCAACTTATCAGCTTGATCATACAGATTATAATGCAGGTAGTTACGTAGTAAAAGATTCAGAAGGGTGGCTGTGCCTTCATCGTTGTGTCGAAGTGTTGCAGTTCGAAGTCTGGCATGTAGAAAACTATACACATGTGGAGGAAAACAAAGGTCGCAATGGTATGACTTGCATATAAATCAAGAATGCAACGATCGCTATACTTCGCGGTATCCTCATAATAACCTAATACTACAAAAAATCTAATGACATAACTAATGGCATTCATTTTGCAATTACAATAGTTTCACACTCACTTTCAGTGTCACACTCTGAAATTCACCCCTCCAAAATTATTGTAATATGAGTTTTTCTAGAAAAAAACTGCAAGAGAGAGAACTGCAATTCAGCAGTGCCACCAAGTGGGGGAGATAGGGTTCACCCTACCAGGGTGTGGAGTTTTTGACAATTCCAAGTTAAAATGAAGCATTCTATGGCTTCCTTAGGGCCAAAATTACTATCAAACAGTTGAAGACTGTGGCCACATGTGATCTCTGGTCAATCAGAATTTCATGGTTGCCAAAGGATCTGCTCCCCAGGGTAAGGGGGCGCATGGCCTTGCATGAGGGCGCTGCACCCCTGTTCAAAAAAATCCCTGCTATGGAGGCGGCAGTTTTTTTGACTGGGTTAATGTTGAGTGACAGTTAACCATTACATGAAAAAAAAAAAAAAATAAATAAATAAAAAATTTAAATACCTCCTAATTTTGTCTAATTTACCAACTAATTCATAAACTCTAGAGTGGTAGTAGTATGCCCTAGCAGAAAGCTGATCCAATGACCGTCTGTTATATGTAGTCAGCTTCTCCATTAACAGATCTGAACATTTCACTGCCTGAAAGATAAGGAGTAAAGTGAATAACAAAATGATGTTCATGCAAGTAATACTGCATCTAAACTTAGCTGCTGCAGAAATACAACACTACAGTCAGTCTCAATTTTGTGTTTTGACAGCAGCAGCTCCAACAGATAGAATTACAGCACACGTGCAGAAAATGTGACCGACTACATGCCTAGTCACAGTAGTCACATGGAGTTGCACAATTTTACTGGAACAATAAACTTAGTCAACATATGATAACACAGTTTTACATTTGTGCAATAATGTACATATAACTGTGGAAAACAAGATGTCTAATACCAACTCAGCTGCAGAAGTCACGATGATGACCTCAGGAAAATGTTTTTTTTTTTTTTTTCATGACTTCTTAAAAACAAACATGCTATTCTCAGGGGCGGACATCCTGGCATTTTCATCACATGGCAACCATCATGGTGAAAACAAAGGCTGAAAATTCTCAAAAAACGGTACTTTGGGATGGTTGTTGAGACTCCCCTGAACAGCGTAATAAGAATACCCCCTGCGTGAGTAACATATATAAATTTGGTTGTTCAGGATTACTTCAAAGTTTAGTTTATGTTGTTTTCTAGAATTTAGCATTTTAATTGGCTCTTCGCTTTATAACGTTCCAGAGCAGCACGCGCAGAGCCCATAGAAATACGTGGTACAGTGGTGCGCGTCTTAGCAAGGTGAACGTCTTGTGACGTAGCTACGCTCCCTGAGGATTGCCAGCACAGCCAGTCAACATGTGTTTATTATGACACAATTCTGCAGCAGAAACTTAAATATAGGTGTTTGTATAAACATACCTCATCATATCGTTTATTGTCAATGAGATACAAAACAACTAAGAGATGTATATAGACGTCTAATTCAGGTAGAATTGGTTGACTTAAGGCTTTACCACTACGAGGACGAAATGGTGTACCAGGTCCATCTGTTTCCATTGGCTGAAAAAATGAAGAAATACAGAGAATATAAATTCAGTGCATGGATTGATGAGAAGATTTTGTATATTAACTTTGCAAAACTAAATTGGGTGAGTTACATTACAAAATGTTGCAACAGTGAACATTTCATTGGGTCTGCTACAAACATGGGAGTTGCATTTTAATTTCAAGGTCTCCCTGATATGGTGTGCTAATACAAAACTTACCCTCATTTTGTTTTTTTAAATAAGGGTGTTTAGAAAAGAAAGCAACTCAGTGAACACTGGTATCTGTGGTTCGATACGGTGATCATCATTACACCCCTGACAAACACAGAAGTGCATCTCTGGTCATAGCTGTGGGTTCATAGCTTCTCTTGTGTTAGTCTTTAGTTTTTGTGATAGTCATTTCTGATATATTTGTGTCATTTGTTATTTTGAGACACTGGGATTTTTATCAACACGGAAAGCTGTGGTTCTTTCCATAGACTTGGGCAACAGAAACGTGTGACGCATCGCAAATAAAAGTCAATAAAAGTATACCATTTCCATGTATCACGCGACCAAAACTATCTTCAATGGTTTTTGTCAGTTTTGGCTTTGGTGAGTGTTTAATAAATATATTGGTGATTGGTGATAGCTTCAATGGTGTGATGCGAGAAAATATTCTGCTTTTGTCAACTTTTATTTGTGATTTTAGTTGGAGTCGCTTGTTTGTGTTACGCAAGTCTATGGAAGGAACCACAGTTTTTCTCTGTTTTTCAAATCTAAAAGAGTAAAGACCGAAACAAGAAGAGCAATGGACCCATAGCTACTCTGGTCTGAACTAAAAGTAAATGTAAAACAAAAAACACAAACCTCTTCTATGTACAATAGAAGCATCTCCTTTGATGGGTTAACTGATGGAAAATAACCACTGATAACTTTTCTGACAATTGTAGGATTAATCCGGCGTCTTATTGGTAACAATACTCTCAATGCTCTTAACATAAACCTAGGTTCCTTAGTATTTACTGCTTTTTCTATGTGCTTCACTTGATCCCGGATATCTAGTTAGACAGAAAGTATCAATTATTCTATGAAACAAAATTTGGCAGAGCTCCAGAAGGAGTACCTACACTTTATGCAAATTTTTTTAAAAATTATGCTAATTTATTCATGACGTAGCAGTTTCTGTGCTCATGAATATTCATTAATTTGTGGGTCAATACATTTTAAAAGGGGCGATATATTATTTTTGGGGGAAGAGTTAGAAAGGGGGATTAGCAATCCTTAGGGGGTCAATACAAAAGAAGGGACCCATTTGGAGAGCAGCCATGCTCCTCGTGTCTGTTGTTGCACGTGACCTACAGCTGTCAACTGTGTTCGTTCTTCGTCGACTTCGACTGGCTTCCATGTAAAGTAGTATTCTTGTGTTCTGTTTGACTTGA